GCGTCATATGTATCGTAAGAGAACTAAACATGCATTCATACATTCAATTGTAGATATCCATTTATAATATATAGGAAATTCTAAATGTGTTCCAAACTAAAAATCATATGAAAACTGATAGAAAATTATTTTTATTGAATTGGCACCAAATTATTTCAACTGACATGACGGAACAGCCCTACGACGAGTGCCCACACACTCGTCTCGAGCTCGCAACCTCGTATAGACAAATTGGGAATTCATAAGCATCGTAATAATTCATTAAATCTAGGCTCATAACATGCATTAATCGAAAACATAACTTTTTTGCCCAAAACATACCTTAAATGGGCTTCTCAGCATAAATTTACTTTTTTGAAATCACATATTTTCTCCCAAACTCTTCTTAACACCTAAATCTTCACTTCACCCTTGCTATTCTCGTGCTAAGGGACTCGTTAGGTATAATTCATTCTTTCGTCCGCCGCTCTCATTACCCCGCGTTCTGCGCTTACTCGCGGATTATTATTCCTCAGCCCCTCAATCCTGTCCCCGTCGTGCCCTAGCTCTGCGATCAAACTCCCCTGATCTCGACCCTCGATCCCGTGCACCCCTCCCCTCCCATTTCTCATCTAGCCTTAGGTGGTGGATCGAAAGTTTGAAACTTCGCAGGTATCCCTCTTATGCTTTATGATTTTGCACAGCTCCTCTTCCCTATAGAGAAATGTTATTTGTGTCGTTGCAGGTGATGGTATAAATTATGGTGAATTGGGCAATGTTATTACTAAGATGAGGTGATGGTATGAATTATGGTGAATTGGGCAATGTTATTACTAAGATGTGTTGGGCAATGCTATTAGTGGGAAGAAATTTTTTATCCTACGTTTTTGTTACAGGGATTTCTTTGTTGGATTTCTTCGTATTTAACTGTAGAGAATTTTTTGATCCTTCGTATTATTGGAATCCTTCGTCTGAAATTCCGCAGGCTCTTAAAAACATAATTCTTGTGATCGTTTTTTGTGCTGTCATATGAAAGATTTGTGAGGTATAATGGGTTTTTAAGAAAAAATTTCAGATGTTATGTGAATATATAGGTATTGGCTTATATGCATGCAAACACAAAACTTTATGTTTTTAAGAGGTGATGGAATTGTGGACAGCTCCTCCCCTGATAACCGGATCCAACATGCTACACTGCCAACAGTGATCGAGATACGATGATTTCACGGGTTGACAGTGTAGCTAAGAACAGACGTAGTCAGAGTTTGAAATTAAATATTTTAATATTTTTCATTGTAGTTGTAATTGTATTTATCTTTTTTCTATTTCTTCTGATACTCACGAAAGTGTGAGCACTGTATGTCATTTTTTGAACTGATCCGTGACGATTTCAGGATTCTTTATTATATACCTCTGTTCTCATTTTAGTTTTTGCAAATAGTTTCACCAAACAGGGGCATGAAGGTCATTTATCCAGCAGCAGCTATCAATAAGCTATTTTGAATAAGTTGCCTCAAACAGCAATCAAGTTTACTCTGATAATCTGCAAATTATCATATTATCAGAATAATTTGCTTATCACCAAATTATAAATAATCAACAGCTGCCCCAAACATACCCTAAACCTCATATACCTCCGACGACTACCAGAAATAGAAAATGCAAAAAAATGAGGTAAATGGTAAAATAAGAGGGTTAGGAAAGGAATGAGCGTATATCGAGAAAAAGGAATTCTTACCTTAAGATTTCACGCTGAAAGACTAAACCGTAGCCCGTGCCTTCCCTCTGTGCTGCTTAACCCCCCTGCTCACTCTTGCAATGTAGCAAGTCGCACGCCCAGCCGAGCTGCCGAGTAGCCGAGCTGCCGAGAGGGAGAAAGGAAGCGAGAGAGAGAGAGAGAGAGAGGAGATGGGAAGGAATCAGCCGAGCTGCCGAGAGGGAAAAAGGAAGCGAGAGAGAGAGAGAGAGAGAGAGAGAGGAGATGGGAAGGAATTTCGAACCTTTAGAGCCCTAAAATGTCCCTGCAACACACTATCATGCGCGCACGACTTATGTGTGTTGCTCATTCCCCACTTGCTAAGGTGGCCCGAGCAGCTACAGCTTCGTGGATGAGAATTCAGAAGAAAGGAGTGGGAGGCGGCTTTACACGTGACCCCTACCTCCCTCAGCCATTCAATGAAATCCAATGGTTCAAAAACACGAGATAGGTCGGCTATGAACAGTGCACATGTTGAAGATATGGAATTGGAGGACATTAGGATAATTAAGGTTTAATTAAGTTAATTAAATTGAAAAAACTCTAAATTGAATCCAATGGCTCAAAAAGACGAGATAGGTCGACTATGAACAGTGCACATGTTGAAGTTATGGAATTGGAGGACATTAGGATAATTAAGGATTAATTAAGTTAATTAAATTGAAAAAACTCTAAATTTTATATTCCTTAATCCATTCATAATTTACATGGTGTTTTATATCAAATTGATTGATTTCATACATTTTATAAAATTATTTCGATTAAATTCTGAGGATGCAAAATTTTTTGTTACTTTTTAAATAAGTCGAGCTTTACCTGGTTTCTAGAATTTGGGCATTATATCAAGTTCTCAGTTCAAGTGAATCAACCGTAATCAAGCCCATTTAAATCCCTTCAACTCCACTGAGATCATTCCAATCTCTCAATCTGAGTTTTCAATATCAATCATCTCACAAACACATACCGATATTGTAAAGTATATAAGCCCAAACTTTAATCGAGAGTATTCTCACGAGTCACTACTCTTGAGATGTAATTAACTGTGAGGGCTTCCCCTAGTAAAGATATTAGATCCCAGAATAAAAAAATTCTTATCCGTGAGGTAAGGTAGAAAACCTAACTGTATAGACCAATAAATCATGAAAATTTTCATCATCTGGTGATTAGATCCATTTTAAGGCAATATTTCAATCCCTCGAGATAATATATTATTCTTCGAATATCGTATCTAATCATTTAAATAGAGATCTTCTGTGATCTATGATGAATACATAATAGAAAATCCCGCCTATCGCATGTTATATCACCAATTATGCTTGCTTAATGAAACCCCTCACATGTTCAAATCAAGCGGAAGGCTTGCTCAATCGCTTTTCTGACATTGTGTGCAGCCCTCGTCTTTCCTTTTCCTCGTCCACTGTTAGTCGAATCTGCACAACAAAAAATAGATATTGATTTGTTCATCAAGGCCAACACGAAACACCAAATCAAGTCATCTTCCTCTTTCGTGCGCTTGAACATCTACATGTTCAATTAGCTTGATGCTAAAGTCGAGCCACCTTCTTGCTCTCAATTAGTGCTCTTGCATAAAAATTTTCTATGCTTTCGCTCCTCCACACGCATTAAAACACCGTCTTCCACCCTCGAGCTGCCCGAAAATCCCATCGATCACTCGTTGCTCAATCGCAAATCACACATATAGCGCCTCACATAGCTTACCCTCACTCACTTTCTCGTCTCCTCTTAAATGGTCACATAGAACCCTCTCTTGCTCGTTTCAACTCCTCGATAAGAGTAATGCCAGCATCACAAATACAAGCATTACACATGGAATAAATTTGAACTCTATGATCTTTCAAAACTCAAATTTGGCATATACACACTTGAGTAGGCTGCCTAGTTTATACTGGACAGACTCATAAATCTAAGTAAATCTGATCATCCTCCAAATATAAAGATTGAAATTGAAAAAACTAATATTTTTGTCAATTTTCAAAGTAATGAGTTTACCCAAATTAAAAATGAAGACTAATCGTAAGTCTTAACCCCAATCAAATCAAAAAAATAGATATTATTATGGATTAGGAACTAAACATCTTTAGATTTTGTCTAATGGTTTGTCTTCCATCGTACATATAGCCATTAAGGTCATTTAAAAATAAAATTCATTCAAAAATAAAAATTCGATATGGTCATCCTTATAAAAACACAATAATGTGTTCATCATACAGAACCAATGGCAAATTCTGTAACATTATGAATAATCAAATGAATTCAAGTGATATTTAAACAAATATTCATTAACTCATTCCTCTGCTTAGTATGCTCATTAATGCAAGATATCCTACCTTATCCATGTGTTCTAGGATACAATATGTAGCCATTAAGGTGTTTAACAAGCATGAATTTATTCTATTAACAAAGAACCATAGCAACCTCCTTTTATAAGAAAGCATCACCGAGATCATGACCTCTTAAAAGAAGATTTCTATTTGATTGAAATAATCAAAATGAAAGACTGATCACATCAAAATAGGCCTGTGAAGCAGGTAGAAAATAGTTTCCTGAAGAACAACTACAATAATCAAATCTGACCATCAACCTGGGTCAACAGATTTTTCTCAGTTCTCAATCCTAAACCAATCCATCTACTAACCAGAATGGCATCACTCAATTGAAAAAACTAATAGACCGCAGAGATCCATCACCAGCAGCAAGAAAGAAACCCACCGCATTAAAACCTTTCAAAAGCATCAACCAAAATTATGATATGTTACATTTAGAATTCGAAAACAAATACCTGCAATTAAAGTTCCTTTGAACTCAATTCCATTCAAGAAGTTTGGCTAAACCATAATAGTTCTATATCAAATGAACTTAACAAAATGTCTCACGTAAAATAGGAAACTAAAATCAGGACAGATGCTCATGCCATGAGAGTAAATACTATAGTTTGAATTGGCTCGGAGTATGTCCATTTATTGTTTATGAACAAGGTTTTAGTTTGGGTTAACCAATTTGAAGTTCGGGTGTTTTGGGTCAATTGGGGTTGAACAATGGTTTGGTTTGCTTAAGAAGATTGTTTGTCTTAAAGAGTCACTAGAAAGGCTTTGATTACCATTGATAATGAATTTAATTGAATTTGGTTCATGGACACCTTAATGGGGCTTTGATATGAAGCAAGCCCATTGATAAAGTTCCTGCTAAACACGGTGATGTCAACTAGGTAAAAAATGTGGAAACATGAACTTTATATTTTACAAACCTTGACAGTTCATCTACCTCCTTAGTCTTCTCCCGTGAGGCATCCTTATTTATAATTTCAACACTCTTCCCTGCAAGAAACTAAAGAGCAGAAAAAACTCAATAAAACATAGTTTCAGCCAATTTAACACAAAAAATAGCAATTCTATAATGAATATAACTTATAGAAGAACTGACGGAAAAAAAAATGAAAATGTAAGGTAAGAGCATGGAGGTCAGCCTACAGTTTGAATAGCAGGAACTTTCAAAAAAAACACACAAAAATAAATCAATGATTTGCTAAAAATTCAATGTACAACTTGGCACAAGATTAAAAATTGCCAAAAAAAAAATAAAATTGCCAAAAAAAAAGAAACTCTAGACTTCAAAGGCTAATAGTCAAAAAAGTCCCAAGTAGTACGGCAAAAATTGCCAAAAAAAAAAAAGAAACTCTAGACTTCTAAGGCTAATAGTCAAAAAAGTCCCAAGTAGTACGGCATGCCAAACAAAATTATCGTTGATAATTATTTGGCCAAGGTCCAAAAGTGATGGTACAAAGTCACTTATATGATGGAGAAGCAAATATGGGTATTTTAAGAGTCAAGCAGCCAGAAAGTCACGATAAGAGATATATATTATGAGCTCATAATTTTATTGCATTGTCCATATATATATATATAGAACCATTTATTAAAAACGATGTCGCCGGCGGTCAAGAACTTTGCTAGGGTTTCCAATGGAGATTTCTGTCGTACTTGATTCTACCACTCGAAGGAGAGGGGCTCGCAACTCGTTTCGTCGACTCTTGCTCTGGTCTGCATATGTGTCTACGTCGGTATCATCGGTCGCAAATTTTGGCTCGTATTTGCATCGGCGTGCGTTGTTGCGGTTGTGTCTTTCGTGTTTCGACGCTGCGCCTTTCCCAGATTCTGCGTCTTTCGTGTTTCGACAGTTTCGTTCCTTCTGTTTCGACGCTTCATTTCGCGGTTGCGTCTTTCGTGTTTCGACGCTGCGCCTTTCCCAGCTTCTGCGCCGGACAGTTTCGTTCCTTCTGTTTCGACGCTTCATTTCTTTTGTTTGCGTCTGCGCCCGTGCTCTCCGGCCCGACAGCAACAGCTTCGTTTCATCTGCTTGTCAGGAACTCACTGCAGGTGAACATCAGCACATCTCCTTGTTCTGATGGCACTTCCTTCTTCTTTGGCTGAACCGACAAAAGCCTCCTTTGCCCACGTGATGGGTAACCCTCAGGTGGAGTCCGCAGTGGTTTTCCCCTCAAGTTATAAGAATTGTCGCGATTATACAGATAATTGCCCTTTTGTTTAGAAGGGAAGTAGGAAAGGTGAAAAAGCATCAATCTTTTTCTCAGACTTAGAAATTTTTACCCTAACGGAAAAATTCAAATTTGATCTTATTGAAAAATTTCAGTGGGGGCACTCACCTATGGATGTTATCAGAAAGAGA